ATGGTCGATCACCAGGGTCCTTTGCACAAGGATCGATGCAAAGTTCTGATCGAAGAACGCTCAGGTCTAGTGATTGAACCATGAGCGACTCGTCGAGCTAGGGGTCACACACGCCCTCGCAACAATTTCGAGCCTTCTCATAAAAGAAAAACTCTAGTTTTACCCTCAGAAAAGTGTGAGTCCAAACGTGTGACTCCTGCAGACGCCAATAAGGAGTTGTATACTCAGAAGAAAACGCATCAGACAAACGAACGCGTTATACCTGAGGAGTCGTACCAACACACGATAGGTTGCTTTGGTCATCAGACCGATGAGTTGTACTATCAAGCTGGGGGTACGAACAAGTCTCGGAAGAGAAATACCCGAGAATCAGAGTCTCACTGCCCGTGCGCTAAGATTATCAGAGCAATCTTATCAGCGTGTAGCTACCCCAGGACCGCTTCACAGAGGGTCTCGGTATTTAAGAGGAACGGAATGACAAAGTCCAAACCAAAACGTTTCTGCAAGAAACGATCGGCTGTTCGAGATGACGAATTCCTAGAAGTTACCATCAATATGGTCAATAAGGAAAAGTCCCCGATTGTTTCAAATGGTTCTAGCCCTGATTTTTCTCCAGGAAGAAGAGTTAATTAGGGAATAGCTCGACTGATGTCTCCACTCCAGCTGAAAACAGTCGGACCTGAACAATCCGCAGTCACAGTTAATATGGCTGGGAGGGGAAAGTCGACTCGACCTTCTAGTTCTGATCCACTCATATCTCATCGTCTAACCCAGTTGCGATCGGGAACCATTAAACAAAGAGATTATCAAGGAATACAGAGGGGATTATCCTCGGATGACGAAGCATCAGATGCCAACTCTGCAGTCGCTTTTGACAAAACGGTATCCAGCCCAGGGGAATCACGGGAAGTGTTTATGATTAACACCGAGAAAGTAGCCAAAATGGTTGAGGATGCCTTGGCCAAGCAAAAAGAAAACTTCAAGTTCGAAATGGAAATGGCTATGCAGCGGATGAGGAAAGAACACGACCAATAAATCCAAGCTTTGTCAAATCAACTTGGTGAATCCAGCCGTCGCAACGTTGCTAACCAAGCAGATAGCGATTCATATGTGGATGAACGTCTCAATGTTGATAACCCTCCCGTTGACCAAAACGCTAGGGGTGGTCCCATTAAAGATAACAACGCTGGGGATGGTTCCACCGAAGATGACAATGTCGGAGGTGGCCGCGTTATTCCTCTTAAGAATCATCTAGAGCCCGATACAAGCGACAATGAGAAAATAAAAGATCTCAAAAGCAAAATCAACGCTCTAATGTCTGCTCAAGAGGCAAAAAGGACCGGCATTTCATGTCCCTATCCAAGATAGTGGGATTCAATAGCATACCCGGCGAAGTTCAACCTGATTAACTTCACGCCATTTGATAGAAAAGTTTCGCCCACTCAACATCTGATCTACTTCAAGTCCCACTTGGGTATGATCTCCGACAATGAATCCTTGATGGTTCGGTCATTTGTTGGTACCCTTCATGGGCCCGCCTTCGATTGGTAGCGCTGTCTCAAGTCTGGAAGCATCAACAATTGGGACGACCTGGAGAACCTGTTTCTCGCTCATTTCTTTGATGACGATGTCGAAGTGTTAATCAGGACACTCTTTGATGAGAAGAAAGAAGACGATGAAACGGTCGACGACTTCGTCAAGCGCTTCCGGAATAAGGCGATAAACTGCCGAGATCCGATCACAGAGGACTTCATCCTCTAAACCTGTCACAACAACCTTTCTTTGGACATGTTGAAAGCTATGGGAGTAGTATCGTCCAACAACTGGAAAGAGTTGAAGGTGCGCGGAGAGCAAGCCGAACACTTCCTCAGAAGGAAGAAAGCCGAAAGAAGCCAACTGACGGCTAACTCTCCGAAATCAAATTTCGTCTCCCGTGGTAAAGGGAAAACACCTGCAGCAGCTGTTGACGCTAATCAGATGTTGCAACAGCAACCCCAAAGATAGCAAAAGACTTCGGGTTCAAGATTCCAAAAAGAGTACTCCTTCAAGGACGAAGACGCTCCAGCCATCTTCGAATCCCTCCTTGAAAATAACAAGATCAAGCTACCACCTATCACAAATCAGGAGGAAGCTGACAACACGGCGGATCCAAAGTACTGTGCGTACCACAGGAGGGTCCTTCATCCCACCAAGGATTGCTTTGCTCTTAAGAATAGCATCCAAACATTGGTTGAAGCTGGCGCCATAACGCTGGGATAAGCCAAATGAGAATGGCGACACTCCGACAAGTATATGAGTATAAACTGCTTCTTAATAGTCCAATAGGCACGCGAGTCTAAACTGTTTCCCACTTTTGACGGGAAGTTCCTGGAGAATATTACTCTAATATTCTTAAGGATAACTCGGTCATGTAACTGGATATAATGTCCGAACCAGTTCCGCAAAGGAAGCTTGGGGTGGATGATTTATGTAACGGGAAGTTCCCGGAAGAATGCTACATGTAATTTTCTTAGGGATAACCCGATCATTACAAACGAAGTGATAAACACTAAACCCCCACCGATCAGACTAATTGACGGTGGGACCATCAAAATTCCTTCCAGTTAAATCCGCTCAAACTTTCACTATATCTGTGCACTCAACATCCTCAATGTTAGAGTCCGGACATGATACTCAGAATTTTAATGTCTTAATTAAAGTTTTACTTGTACCAACGGGCGGAACTGTTAGGACAGAGTTTACAACCGTTGGGACAGATTTAGCCCCAACGCTACTTGCAGCACTGATTGCTTTTTCTGCCCCCAACGGTCCCAACTGTTGGGGACATTACCTGCCCCAACGATTACAACCGTTGAGGCAGGCCTTATTTGTACTAGTGCCAATTAATTATATTGAGATGCTCACGAATGCATCTTTTCATTCTGAAGTTTCATAATTATTTTTTTGACTTTATTTATTTTGTTAATAGTGACGTTTTATGTTTGTTCATGGTTTATATGTCCTATAGATACCTCTTATAAAATTTACATCTAGGTTTTATATGCGAAGGCACTTACAAGCGCAACCTTATAAAGAAGGAACCTCAACTTAAAATTGATTGCACATGAGAAGAGACTATAGAAAAGGTATTGTTTTCATGCATTTGTTTTCATACACTAGATCTTTTGCTCTTTTTCCATTAATTATTGTTCTGATTTATCTCCATTTCTACTTTTGTGTGCTATGATGACTAAAATTGTTTTTCATGATAGCTTTTAGGTTTTATAGTGCAAACAGCTTTACGAAGACAAAAATCTTGCTGTAGTTCTTCCAAAATATTACTGATTTTTTCTTTTTCTAATCTTTCAATTGTTTTTAAGTTATGTGAATGTTCCAATTCCTTGGTTGATTTTAGGTATTAGCTTGAGTTTTTCCAATTTTAACCTTTATTTTAGATATCAAATTGTGTTACTAGAAATAAAATGATGGAAGTACTCCATTCTATTGTTCTGTACACACCCTATTGAATCTAATGGCTTAGAACTAAATTTATGATGTATTACATGTGATATTTAGTAACTTGGAATGTTTTTCTTTTGTTGACAAAAAACTTTTGACTTGGGATAGATAAGTCCTTAGAATTGGTTGAGAATTTTCACTTCATATAAGGCCTTCATCAAATATATGGCAACTAATTTATATCTTTTAAAAAATTTTCATGGCTTACTAACATTTGTTTTTGATGTGTTTTGCCAGATTTAATCAATATCTCAGTTACAGGTGTATCATTCATCCATTGATTGATTTTAAATTTGATTAATATAGTTAAAACTTTCTAGCATCTATGTTCCTTCTCTTTCACTAGCTAGCCTCTTCTATACTTTTCAACATATATTTGTTACCCGAGATATGTAAACATATGAGGATATATAGGAGCATCACATGGTCTTACGCTTTGAATAACACATGAGGAAAGGAGCATTACATAGCGATTTGATGCATAATTTTAGCTTTTTACTGTAAAATTTCATTGCAACTATAGTAAGAAAACTTGGCTATTAGTTCATGCAAAATTTTAGGTTCTTATTTTATTTTATGCTGACTTTTTTATTTTAATTGAAATTTTTTATTATAATTTGGTTTTCATTATATTATTTCATTTTGTTGCTTCAAACAGGATGATAAATAAGATGTGTTTCCTATGAGCTGCATGTATTAATGCAGGAGAATCATGCAGGAGAAGAGTTTATTTAACGGTTCATGTTTTAATGTATAATATTAACAATTTGGCGCATTGTTTATTATGAGAATGAGCACTAATAAGGATATGCATATTGACTATGAAATTTCTCTTAACAGTGAAAGTAATCTTGACGAGTGTGTAAAATTCTGTTTTTTGTGTTCTTAAATCAAGTTGAGTGTGAAGATTTTATTTCCTTTGTTAATGGCATTTTGCTCAATGTAAACAGGGTTTTACACATAAATATGCACGAAAGAGGATTTGATGGAGATTTACTCAATTCTTTTTCCTCTCGACTTCATAGATTGTCTGTCATAATCGTCTTTGCAGTGCTATTATATTACTCATAAATTTTTACACGTGATCTTTATAGTTTTAATTCTGTGAAAATAGTGATTATTGTAAGCACAATTCTCTGCACGTTGTTTTAAAAGTTGGAGAGGCGCAAATATTAGTGTAAATATTATTCTCACAGCGGGGTGTCCTTTAGAACATTGAAAGTTGAGGTACTTGAGAGAATTATTAACTATGAAGCTACTTATATTTGTATCCCGCACTATTCTATAATAACTTCAAAAATGTCCATGTCGATAATAAAATTTAAGGTTAATTCAAATTTTTTTTTTCTTAAAAGTTATGAACAACTTTCTTGCAATTTTCTCTCAAACATAAATTTTTCAAAAACTATTGACTTTTCTCTATACAAATCAGTGCATCACACGAATCTGAAACCGGTAAAGCAAATATCTCACCCAACACCAACAGCATTGATAACCAAAGGTAAAACCAATTGTAAAAACAATATAATAATATTGAAAATATTTTAACCCTGAGCCTCATTCATGAAGAAGAGGCCCAAATAGTACTAGACAAAAAAAAGGTTACATCTAATAAGAACTATATGAAGTTCATAAGCACTAATAAAATGATATGACAGAAGATAAATTGCCGCAAATCTAAGAGCCCATAATCATCTATTTCGCCTTGGATGCGACTGCAGGAGCACCAGAGGATTGCGAAGGGTTGAGCTCATCCCAGGCCTCAATCCAAGTGACCATTGCATCTGCTAGCTTGTCAAAGTAAGGGTCCACCTTGCCGAGCTTTTCCTTCACCTGCTTCGAGAGCTCGATATAGCATCGTTGAACGGTGGTGCACTCTTTTGGGAGGACTGCAGACTGGAAGAATGGGATGATTTCCTCTTGCCAAAAGATACCCTTATATTCTTTCTTGAGGTTAACAAAAGGGTTGCTGGCTTTGCTATGCCAAATGTAGGGCAACCCAGTCTTCACCCCCAGGCCCAAATGGTCACAGATCACCTGAAAGAACGGTTTTGACATTAGTTACAGTTCAAAGGTTTAGGCAGAAAGGAATTTCGCACAGAGAATCCGAGCTGTATTGTTGTTTAAATATTGTATATTAGAGTTTGCTTTCACAAGCCATCCAGATGTCAAGTTGTTAACCAATTGACTTTCATATACTATCGTCGTAATTGATACAACGTGAGACATATTTGATTTCAATATTATATCTAGGATAACATACAAATTCAGATTGTCATTGACTGCAATTGTCTTGGCAACCTAGCTAGCTCACACATTACCCGATTCTTTTCTCCTTAAATTTTCTTGGGTTCTGAATATCTCATTTCAGAACAAAGAATTTAACAGAAACAACTATAAATGATGTGATATATCCAAGAAGTGACAATTATATACTACAAACCCCATACTATTTTTGAACTACCAAAAGAAAAATAGTAGGGACCGCAATGACTCCCATTTTTTTTTTTTTTTGAAATTCCGAGAAAGAACCCCACACATATGTTAGTGATAGTACAAAAATAATATAGATGTCGCACTATGGTTATCATTTTCCATTTATCTATGCTATGTACGTTAATAAAGTAACAAATTATCGCAAAATGCATAAACTTATAAGCTAAATTACACACCTTGGTGCACCATCCAGCCCACATATCATCGTAACGACCAATAGGCTGGCCATCTCCCATAAGACCAAAGTACATGGCTGGGCCAATAAGCTCTCTGTCAAAAGCCAGATTCATCCCACACATGGGAAACAATGTTCCTTTAGGGATCGTAAGGACCGCATCCACATACCTATAGACAACATAGAAAACAGTATTAGATGTTGGTCTATAATCCTTCTTTAAACACACTGATAATGTAATTGTTAACGTCAGTAGTACACCTTTTGTTCCTTTCCAAAGGCTTAACAAGCTGAGTGGGAGCATCATAGTCTGGAATGTTAAGCCAAAGGCCATGAGAAACAGCAGTAGAAACACCTTCCCTGAGGCTGAAAGGGTATCCACGAACAAAGTCTGCACCCTCACGGTATGGATCATACAATGTGTTGAAGAAATTGGGTGTGGAGGGGCTGAGGAGATTTTTGATGTGCTGCTCCAGGGCGTTGATGTCCTTGCCAGATGGATCCTTAGCCACCTATTTTCAAAATTGTAACAATTAATTAGATACATGAATAAAAAATCTCATTGTTGTTCAAGTCTAACATCAACTTACTTCAACCACTATGCATGTAAATCATGAAGAAAGAGTTTAGTTGTTAGTGTAAAAAGAGAATAAAGGGATATGTCATGATTGAACATTTGAACTTATCAAGCATCTACGAGCACAAAGACTAGGTTTGACACTTCAGTTCTGACCCACATCCTTAGCTAATCTCTGGAGACACAACATGTTCATCTATAATTAAAATAACCTCAATGACCATCCTTAAAAAGTGTTCTATAATTGAATCAGACTTCAAGATTCAAGCAGTTTAGAAATTCAAAATTGCTAGTGTCCGTAACAACAAAAAATACTAGAGACCAAGAAAGCAAGCTATTTGGATATAAGAGTCCATACTACAGAAATCAATAACTTTAGAATTTGAACAATGTTGCAAATGATATAACCAGATACAATTCAGAGCACTACAGTACTTAGGCTTGCAGTTCAATAAACTAGACATCAAATCTGAAACCATAAAGATAAAAACCATCTGACACATGCATAATAATCAATTAACAATCACATTTAAAAAATGAAATAAAATCCCGCGTCACTATAACAATAACTTTAAAGCAATCATGTCGACCTAAGATCAACATATCCATATTGAATATAATAACTCATGGCAGATCTATACTCAATCCTTGAAAGGAAAGAAAAAAACAATACAGATCAATGCAATTTCAAAGATCAGCCTAAACACCAAAAAGTCACAAGCATGAATAAATCAAAAATTGAAGGCTAAATCTTAGCAGTCCCGTGAAAAACAAAAAAAAAAACCACTCTCAAAATCGAATCTTTAGCAAAACCCTAGTGGCAAAATCCCACCTTAGCCCCAAAAATCCTAACCGCGAGAAAATTAAAATAGAGATACTCACAAAGCAATCGTCGTCGATGGTGTAGATGTACTTCTTCTTGGAGACCATGTATCCAAAGCACCGACAAGCAGAATCCTTGAACGAGATGCAGGACGCCTTGGGACCGAGGATCCTGTTGATGTCGTTGCGATTGTAGAGCTCGTAGTCGAATCCCTCAGGGACATTGATTTTCTTCGAAGGATCTCCATCCTGCACAATAATTAGGTGATAAGGCTGAAAAAATGGCCGCCAACATCTCAAGGAAGTCAAGGTTGCGGATCGTCGGGATGACGATATCCAGCTCATCCTCCAGCAAGGCCGCCATTGGATCTATCTAGTCTAGAGAGAAAAAGAGGAGAAAATTTAGCGAGCAGGGTCGGGATCTGACGAGGGTAGAGAGAGAGAGGGGGGAGGGAGGAGGCTTTATAGAGAGAACGAGATTCCAAGTCTCCTACGGCCTGGGCGAGGATTTAATCGACGAGACGTTGTCTGCGGACTGCGGTGAAGTAATAGCGCGTTTTACGGATACTTTGGATAAAAGTCCCGTGATCACTTGAATTTTGCAAGCCTAGGCTAAATCTGTTTCGCAATCTTATCTTGAGACATCATATCTGAATATTTATGTTAAGATTACGATAATTATTTTTTATTTTTAGGTATTGATTTCATCTAAATGTTATTTGCCGTTATTGTTAACAATATAGAGCATTAATTTACATGATTGAGAATTTCATATATTTATTTATACTAGGTATTTATGCACGTGGTTAAATATCATGTTTAAGTATTTTTTTTGATTTATTTTCTTACTAGAATTTATTCCTCGGTTCTATTTTGATGATTTTTGCTCACTTATGTTTTTAAACTTTAGCATTGTAATTATTTATTTTCTTTGATATTCGTTTTAAATGAGTTGCGCCCAATTTAAATTTTCATGTTGATAATTAAACTGATAGCAAACAAATGTAATCTGAAGCCCATTTGTATTATCATGTTATTTGGACAGACATAAAACCAAGCTTAACCTGAGAAAGAATAATGTTACAAAAGTGAAAAACACTTGAAAAAATAACATTATAAAAGGAAGATAAATTATTAAAGCTAAGACAATATGATTTGTTAAACGTTGGCTAAAACAATACAAAAGAGAATATGGAGTTTATTCCTAATCTTTGATAGACTTTTAAAAAAACTAGGAGAGAAACACGTGATTATTTGTCAGTTTATTTGTTTAGTATAACTTGGTTGCAACGCCTTGTTTGGTACCCGGGAATGAGTGGGGATGGAATGCAATTCCAATTCTTTATTCATGTGTACCAAACACGATGCATTTTCTAACGCTAGAATTGCTATTCTCACTTCTTATCAATTTTCACTTTATGTGGGAATTGTCATTTCCAACCATTTAACAAGGAATTGATATTCACACTTAAGTGGGAATAAAAATAATCAAATAATTTCCGATTATAACCTCCTTAATAGATACAAATACATATAAATTCTCATATGAAAAATTATTTCTATACAAATAATATCATTAGCTACTCGTGAAAACACCCTAGAGGAGGGTGAATAGGGTTTATGCTAATCTAATTTGATTTTAATGCTAATTAAAAACTAATTAACAATATCCTAGCAATAATGATATACAACAAGATATAATAGCAAGGATATGCAATATAAACAAGGGCGATATAAACATGCAACAATGGCGATATAAAAATATACAAGAATAATTACGCCAAAACCAAACTCAAACACAAGAAAATGATCACGGAGTTCGGTCCTTCCGACCTATGTCTCCGCTCTCCACTCCCGGGGAGAATCCACTACACAACCGGGTTTTCGTCGCTCACCCGAAAAATGTTTACACCTCACAAGTTCGGTTTTCTAGCTCACCGAAAACTTTTATAATCTCACACTTTTGCAATCACACTCTACACCCTCTAAGTGTTGGTCTCTAGCCCGTGTCATTCCTTAAGTACTCGGAATTACGACAACTCTCAAGGCTTTACTACTGGCGTCACTCCTCTTGGAACTGACCATGTCTCTCACCACACACTCCTCTCGGTGTACAAGTGTATTACAAAGTGATCTCACAAAAAGGCTCAAATACAAATATTTGTTCTCTACAATAGATGAGAACACAATGTAAGCCCATACTCAAAGTCACAATCGCACAACCCCAAATTATACTATATATACAAATACAATAGGCTTAATAGGTTGTGTGTGAACAATGAGTATAATCAAAACAAATCTAAACTCAAATAAATTCTAGCTTATGGAAATAAAAATCAAACATATAAATAGCTATATATGAGTTTATAAAAACTTCTCTATGATGACAAGAGAGAGAGAGAGAGAGGGAGATGAGTTGAATGCCCAAACACAAATGATGATCTCCTCAAGCTCTTGCGAAAATTTCTTCACAAACCAAACTTTTAAACACACTTTAAAACCCTTAAACAAACTTGTAAAAACTCTTTTTCACAAACCAAACTTTTAAACACACTTTAAAACCCTTAAACAAACTTGTAAAAACTCTTTAAAACTTTTCTCTTGATCTCAATAGAGCTGGGTATTTTAAAACCCTTAAACAAACTTGTAAAAACTCTTTAAAACTTTTCTCTTGATCTCAATAGAGCTGGGTATAAGGGGGTATATATAGTAAGCACCAAAGATCAAGAAAACCCAGCAAAAAGACAAAAAACTGAAACAGTACAAAGCTAGAAAATATAGTCGTTGGAAAGCCGTCGGTCAATTGATGAACATTATCAATCGACTGATGAGCTGACCGTTATAAGCAGCGAACAGCTCATCAGTTGACTAAAGAGCTTATCAGTCGACTGATGACATCATCAGTTGACTGATAGTTTATCAGTCATAAAAATAAAAACTTTTGCACTTTCTAGACGAGTTCATCAGTCGACTGATAAAATCCATCAGTCGACTGATAACAGTTTATCAGCCTGAAATGAATAGTAAAACTAATTTTCAAGTGCCTTTAAAAAATAGCAAATAAATTCCAAAAATATAAAACTTTGGAAAATAATTGTAAACATGATAATAAATATGTTACAAAAAGTATTTTTGAAAATGCACCTCCCAAATGAGAAATCTCTCCATTTTGCAAAAAGGTCCAAAGCATGAAAACTAAACAAGACATGTTTTTGACAAAATGTTTTAAACAAACTTTTAAAACTTTATAAAGTGATTTTATAGACTTAATAAAATGATATAAAATATTATTATGAAGTATACAAACTAAAAACTCAATATTATGCAAAAATAAAGTTTTGCACAATATATGCATTTTGCAAAAACCAAAATGATAAATATAAAATATATGAGTATGTATATAAATATATCTATTGTTCCATATTTGTAATATCAAAACAACTTATCCACATGAAAACAAATATATATGTATATAAATATATATCTTTTTACTTGTAAAAACTTTGTTTGTGGATAAACTAATAAATTGTGTGTGTATATAATATTGAGCTAAGAGTATTTAACACACAAGTATAAACCTTAAACTATAAAAACTATATCCAAGCAATCTCGATTTTTAATATAGCTCAACTTGGTTGTGGATGAAGCTTGATCTTGAATATGACTTGAGTTGCAAATGGTTTCATACCGATATTTCCACCAACCTCTATTTGATATAATCGTTATGACGCAATTCCATCCAACCTCTAACATATTATTTGTCTATAATAAATAAGAAAATACAAACACTAGACAAATAATATTAGTTGTAAATTGTTTGTTACAACATTATCAAAGCAAAAAGGTCAACAATCTCACCCTTTTTGATGATGACAAACAATTTACAAAAAGAAATATGTATGATACGAAATGAATATATAAATTATGATAATCATGCATAAAAACAAACAATATATACTCACAATATTTCTTCCTCTTTGACAACATCAAAAAGGGGAAAACAACAAATGATAAGAGAGCGTAAGCTCCCCCTACAAATATGCATGAGTGAGTATAAAACAATTATAGGGAATAACTCTCCCTATCAAAATGCCTTATAGAATATATGAGATGAAGTGCTAAGGCAAATATATGAGTAAGCATAGATGAGAAACATGCTAAATATCACTCATATGCAATAAGACTACAAGAACACATATAGATATATCAATATGAAAAAGTGTGTCTCAATACACAAACATAAAAACAATGTATAAATAGATTTATGAAAACAAAAGAATGAAGAACATAAGAATCATGAAAAAAGTTTTCAGATGAAAACAAATCAAACAAATGAATTCATAAATAAAAAAATCCATAAAAATAAAACATTATCAATTTTCGAATAAAAAGCAAGAGAGGTAACCATATCAAGCTTTTGAGCTTGTTACAACCTATATAAATCTTTAAGCATCCGGTAAACCTCCCGGTGGTTGCTCAAATCATAAAACTCTCATATAAAAACTCAAAACAAAGTATAAAATATGATGTTTGATCAATAAAGGAATTTTTTTGTAAAACTTGATCAAACCACATAAAGAATACATTATAAAGCACAAATAGATGATCCATAAGCTCAAACACATAAATACCATCATAAAATTGTTTTATAATGAATCTATAAATACAAATACATTGTTTACACCAAAAACCACCTAGTTCAAACCAAGAATACAAAACATATGAGAATCATGAACTATGGATTTGAAAAACCAAATAAAATCATTTTTAATTTATTAACAATTTAATCAAATACTTTCTTTTAAAGATTTTGAAAATTGTTTGCAATTTGTATATAAAATCTCAAATAGAAATCATCTTTAAGAACATGAAAAAACTAAAAATTAAAAAAAATGTTCTTAAAGATCAAACAAGTTTTGGTACCCAATTACTCTTAATACCGAAGAGTTTAGGGACATGACCCCTATCATTAAAGCTCAAAGCCATAGAGTTATGATCTCTTTTGGGCGCATTTTGTACACGAACACAGTTAAAGTAATAATTATGCAAATGACCTTTCCGATTGCAATAAGTGCAATGAAAGAGGCTCATTTGATTTTGTTGACCATAAACTTGTGCACGAGGAACATTTGCAAACATAGATGGTCTTTTAAAATTATTTTGTAAATATAAAACATTATTAAACAAACGTGGTTTATTTGAAGAATTTGGCAAATTTGAACCTTTTCTTAAATCAAAATAAAACTTTGCCAAATGGCCAAATCTACCACAAAAATTACATTTGTACATATTAGCATGCTTATGATGAGCTTTGTGCGTATGAGCATGTGAATGTATAAATGTACATGATGATGAAGATTGATGGGATGCACAAGGAACATTAGATTTTGTGGGTTTACGTGCATCATAGCAAAATTTAGCAAGGTGGTCTTTTTGGCCGCAAATAGAGCATTTGTAAATTTTGTTATACAAATGTGCATAGTGAGTGTTTGATTTGGAAGTGTTAACACGAG